CACACACACACACACACACACACACACACACACACACACACACACACACCTGCCGTCCCATGGTGCAGTGGGAGCAGCAGTGTGTTGGTGCAGGACTCACTGTCGGAGCAGCTGGCGTCCCTGTTTCCAGCTGAGCTGATGGCTGCTGTTGGGAGGACTGGGCAGCTCGCTGTCGTTGCCTTCATCTGCGCACACAGACACACACTTAGTGACACAACGCACACACACCTACAGTGTGTACACAATGCTACGCAGTCTGAGGTTCCCTGAACTACACAGCAGCTGCTGCAGACAACGAGCTCTGAACCATTCATCATGAGGCCGCCTCGTCTTTGTCACGTGACCAGAGGACCGCAGTGATGTCATCGCCGTGACAGGAAGTAGGAATGCTGGTCTTTGTCAGGTCATCTTGTGTCGATTTCACATTTTTTGTGGTGGTTTTGTGCCTCTTTGTGGTCATTTTGCGCCTATTATCAGTGGTTTTGCATTCTTTTTTGTGTGTTTTTTTGCCTTTTTGTTGTGGTTTTGTGTCTTCTGTGGTCACTTTGTGTCTATTTTGTTGGTTTTGCATCTTTTTGACAGGACGTGCATCTATTTCTGGCGGTTGTGTGTCTCTGTGGTGGTTTTACGTCTCTTCTTGGTGGTTTGGCGTCTGTTTGAGGTCGTCATCAGAACAGAAAGAGAAGTCGTCTTACCTGAGTCGTAGCTCGGAGGATCGATTTCTCCCTGATTCAGCTCTGTTCCGTATTTCAGTTTGTGGTATTTGGCTCTGAGGACGAACGCACAAACACACAAACTGGTCATCACACGATGTGAACAGGCAGAGCGGTGTGGTCACACGTTAGTGACGTGTGTGTGTGTGTGTGTGTGTGTGTGTGTGTGTGTGTGTGTGCAGCACCTGCTTTAAAAACGTACGCATACTTTGCTGGAATAAACACACAATAAATCAATCAATCCGACCTTGACTGGGTAAAACTCAGACCATATGGGAGGTTGTGTATCGCCATATTCAGCAAAGACACACAAAGTTTGTTTCAGATAAAAACACATCCAGGTTTTAACACCTGTACATGAATACTGTGACTGGTTGTTATTTTAATTGCTGATTAATTAGTCAGTTTCTTTGGTCTCTAAAATGCCAAAAAACTGTGAAAACTGTGGATCAGAGTTCCTCAAATGTCCAGTGTAGTCCACAGATCTGCAGTGTAGCGTCACAGAGGAAAGAAACCAGAAAACATCCACTGAAGGAGCTGAAACCAGAGTTTAGACGGATTTACATCAAAACACTGATGAATCAAATCCTACAACAGCTGGCCATTCATTCACAGCTGACAGATAACGATCAGTCCTGGAATAAAACATGTTCTGATCAGTCCAGGTAATGACTACTGACATACTGAACACTGAAGGTTTCAGAGAAACAACTGGACTAAAATGAAAACAGTTTTTACACGATTCATGATTTTGGAGGTTTTCTAAAAACCACCGGCCTTTAAACTCGGCAGCACTCGGTTTCGGACTCAACAACATCTTGGACGTTGCTGCTCCCTTCGCCTGCAGCGCCACCATCAGGCCGACATCTTCAGCTGTTCCACACTTGGCTGCGTGGTGAGAAAAGGTTCGGCGCTGAGGAGCCACACGACGGAGGAGCTCACCTCTCCTGTTTGAGGGCGTACTCCAGCATCTTGATCCGCCTCACCAGGTCCTTCTTCAGGTTCTCCTGACCCCGCCTCTCGCCCTGCAGGAAGGCGATCTGAGCCTGCAGCAACACAGCAAACACAGCAGAAAGGACGTTTAGTTTACCTGCAGCACGGACAGCGTGGATGAGATTAGACTTGAAGGAGTTAATAAACAGCTCGTCTCTGTTAAACTGGGCGAGGAGGAGGATGGACGGACTGTTCAACGGATCTACTGGGCATCATCAGGAGGTGTACAATGACCACGAAGAGACACAAACACACCTTACAGAGACCCAAAAGCATGAAGACACGCAAAAACACATTAAAGAGATGGAAAAAATACCTTAAAAACACCTTAATGAGGCACAAGGAGACAAAACAATGACGCTCAGAACACCATAAAGAGATGCAAAGACACCTCAAGTGATCCATCTTAAAGAGACAGACAACACATGAGAGGAACCCTCTGATTCCTGGAACACAGCTCACACACCTGAGCTGAGCTAAACCCTGAACCCTGCGCTAGCCGCCGTCGTTAGCCACACGTTAGCGTCTGCAGCTTTAAATCCGACAGCGGCGGCCTGATCCCTGCCGACACAGCGCCGAGGGCCCCAAAGCCTCCTGGGAAACGTGTCGGCCGGCCGGGTGTCTCCGGGGCCGATGGGAACCTCGTGACCGTCCGTCTTCACGTCTGATCTCGGTGGGAACAGACGACATGTGACCGACTGAAGGACTTCACCTCCTCCAGGTTCCACATTTCAAACCTAACGTCGCGTTAACGAACCGTCTGAACCCCACGGCGGCTTCCAAAGCAAAAGGCATCAGCCAGGAAACGCAAACACAGAAACACTTTGAAGCTTTCTGTCAACGTTGGAAACGAAACCTCACTAAAGTCACTGCGTTTTAAACGTCTCATTCATAAACAGTCAGTGATTACCGGGACCAGATTCTGTAGAAACCAAACGTTGGAGCTCCGTCACGCAGCGGGGATGTCGTCAGCGACTCTGGGATCAGGTGAGAAAAAAAATCTGGACGTTTGTTGGACTGTGAAATGACCACAAGGAGACAGAAAACGAGCAGAAAGAACGACAAAATGACTAGAAACAGACGCAGCAGTAGAACGAACGGACCCTGAAGGCATCAAACCAGCACACAGAGAAGAACAGCCACTCCGGGGGCAGGACTTACGCCACACCTTTGAAACTTCAGTTTGGTGTCAAGATTTTATTTTATTTTAGATTTTATTGGCCACTTTCAGCAGCTTTTGAGGCGGCTTGAACGGCGATATCTCAGGACCTACTACGTTTAATCTTAAATTTAAAGAAATGTGCCCACAATAAAGGTGTCTTCTGTTTATTACACCTGCAGAACCACTTTAAAGTCCAGAACCGGATCCGACTATCCACTGATATCTTTGTTTTGTGCTTCAACCAGAAAACATCACCGGCTGCCTTCTGCTTTTTATTAACGTGCTCAAAGATGGAACTTTTCACGGCGGCTTCGGTTATTTCTTCATATTTCAACTCACCTGTAATCAGAGGTTAATTTGATCGACCCGTTCAGTATGACAGATCCTGAACCAGCGCCGTGATGAGAAACAGCAGAACGTTTCAGGTTCTTATCGTCAACAGTTCCTCAGACGTCCTCGTTCAAACAGCCTCAGACCTCAATGTGAGAAACAAAAACCTGCTGAACGATGGCCGATTTCTAAAAGCTTTCATCTCAGAATGAACTCCACATATGCTGTTTTAAACATCCAGGGTTTAAGCTGTGAGTCTGTCCAGAAAATCAGACAGTTGAGCTGCTGCTGATTTCAGATGGAAGAGCCTCAAAGTACGCAGAGTTTATTTCTGCCGTCGGTAAAACCTGAAGCTGCTCGAGGACATGTCGGCGAGTTGAGTCCAGGGGTTTGAAAAATAAGAATAACAATCAAAGAAGTCCTGTTTTTGTGATAATGAGACAGACTGGCTGCAGCTTCTGTCAAACCAACTGGAGCAAAAGCTGCGTCTGCTGGGGACTATTTTCAGCGGCGGATGGATCTGGACTGGGTGTTTGTGGCAGCAGGACTGTGTGTGTTTCTGAGGTGTTATCTGACTGTAAGCTCAGTCCTGCTGGAGGAAACATCACGACCCGGACAAGTCTGCTGGTCGGACTCGACTGGATGGACTGGTTTTGACTTTCAATACCAAAATACTTTTATTAGCAAAACAAAAAATACACGTCAGAGGAGGAGGAACTGGACCGGACCATGGAGCCAGTCTGGGATCAGACAGAACCTGCAGCAGAACTGCAGCAGCTTTCTGAGATGTTTGGATCAACCTTCTAATACCTTAAAAACCTGACGGGCCTCCTCACTTCACTTCTTCTCCTCAAAACAGAAGAAAGCTCAGTGAACGTTTAAAATCGTCTGTTTTCCAAACAGCCAGTGAAAGACTTCCTCCGTCGGTTTGTTCACTGAAGCTCAGAGACTGTACATGAACCTCTGCCGTCTCGTCTCGTCACGTATGTGCTGCTGACACGTGAAGTGTTGGAATCCTGCTACCACACATTAAACATGAGACAGGCCCGGGTCACCTCTGGCAGAGCGCTCCTGTCAGAGGAGGTCCTGGCTCACGGCCCGGTTCAACCGGGCCTGCTTCCAGGCCGAGGCGTGGCTCGCTGTGGCATTGGCCTCCACAGCGGAGGCTCGTCTGCACAACAAGCAGGTGTGCATGCCATTCCTTCTACGGCAGCAACCAGTGCAAAGGAAAAGACACGCTCGAACCGGGTCGGGCTGCTGCTGCTGCTGCTGGGGCGGTCGGGTCCAGCTCAGGTTCTTCTCTCAGCTCTCACTCAGCAGGAGCCTCCAGCTGATTCATGATTCAGACACAAAGTGCTGCTCTGAGGGGCTTCGACCCGACGTTCACCCCGAACCGTCGCTCAGAGCTCCGTCCGGCTGCTCGGTACCACCGAGATGGTGAGGAGGAGCAACTGGACTCCAGTTAGGACAGAGTCTGAAACCAGTCCAAAACCAGTCCAAAGCCAGTCTGAAGCCAGTCCAAAGCCAAGAACAAAACCAGTCACAAACCAGTCTAAA